AGCCAATAAACCACAAAAGCTGACGTCAAGGGTTCATCGAGGGGCTACAATTGAAAAATTACCTGTTTCTAATGAACAATAACAGGTGCAGTGGTGGGTACAGTTTGTAGCTGGGAACGAGGGCAAGATCAGGGCATTGGGCCGGAACTAGATTCAGATGCGCACAAAAGGGCAGCGTGAGAAAGGCCCAACTGCAGGTTCTCAAGTAGAGAAAGGGGCACAGTGGAAAGTTACAGCATTTAGAATGGCGCATACAGAACAAGATGGCGGCGCCTATGTCAGGTTATAACAGTTAATAAAGTTACAGTGGAAGCATACAGAGTTACAAAACTGGAATCAATTGCACAGGTTATAACACTCTGTGGGTGGCAAGATAGTGGCCTCTCTGTGTGCCATTGCTGGCATGCTGGCCATTTCCCTGCCTGTGCCTGTTATTGTCTCCAACATCAGCTACTCTCACCACCAGGAGACAGAGGGCGAGGAGGCCTGGACGTATAGCCATGTGGACATACAGCCCTGCATCAATGAAGAGGGCAAGGCCAATGGGGGGCTGATGGATGGAGAGGTGCCTGAGCTGCCACCTCCACTCTGCGTGCCCCCTGCGAAACACCTGGTCACTGAGGTGTGAGAGGCAGGTGAAGTCTGCTGGCCCTCATACCTCCCTGGGGGGAAGGGGCAGCAGAGGATGGGATGGGGTTGGGGAGAACTAGGCTAAGTGGTAACCAGTGCTGAGTTTTGTTGGGTTTGTAGCTGCTATGGGTACCTCCTGAAGGAGCAATGAATGCCAGCAGTTTGTGCTGAGCTGAGCGGCGGCCCCATTGATTTGCTCTGCATTGTGTTGCACCAAGCTTCTAGGATTTTGGGGGTGGTGTTGAGCTAGGTTTGGGTCACATCCAGTTGAGAGTTTCCTTCGTCATGTTGGGGTAATGAGTCTGGGTGAGTCTTGTCCAATTGCATTATGCAAGGTCTGTGCTTTTGACTCTCCTAGGGCCATATTGGGTCAAGTCCGGTGGCCACTTAAGGGCATTTTTGAGACTGTGTGGCCACCCATGGTGTCATTGAGATGTGTGGACAATTGTGTGACTTTATGTTTTGCCTCGGGTCATGTCATTTTAGGTTCTATGAACTTGTGAGTCACGTAGGAATACAGAATCAAGAAAGAGAATTGAAGCTTTCTGGGTCAAGATAGGTGAAGTTGGGTTGGGATGTATGACTGGGTTCATTGTTTAGGAGCTATTAGATTGAGAGGTGTAGGCTTCTCTAACTGGGAGATTTTCAGGCCACAGGGAGTTGAATTGAGCTGTGCTGAGATCTAGAAGTATGTGAGTCTTTCAAAGTCAGTTCAGTTGGGTCTTAGGACTCTTGGGTCACGGGGCTGTGCTGATCACCACCGCTGATCCCATAGGCATGTTGAGTTGAGCTCTGTACAGCTGGGAGAAGCACCAGGGCCCAAGATCGAAGCTCTGGGCAAGAGTCACGAGTGGTGTGGATGTGGGTGCTGCTACTGCAGGGGTGGGCTTGATCCACCCAGGGGCTCTGAGGGACTAAGAAGAGGGTGTTCCTTCCTGTTACCCTACATGTGCTTCGTTCTGCCACTCAGAGCCTCCTCACTCACCTGGCCTCCCCAGGGGTTTAGTGAGGACATAGAAACATGGAAGCCAGGGAAGTGAGAAGAGAAAAGTATTTGTCTCACCTCCAGACATCATGGAAGACAGAACCACAGGGAGGAGGAGAGACACAGACTCAGAAGAAAAGAGAGGGACAGAGATCTAGACAGAAACCAGAAGAGATCCTGAGACAGGGACAGGGACCTGGAAGGAGGGAGGAAGAGAACGAGGGAGAGGAGTCAGAGACTCCAAATGGGATGCTGAGATTCAGAGAGAGGTAGACAGAGATCAAAGGCTGGAGACGGAGGCCTAGGGGTTGGTGGGCACCCAGAGAGAGGCACCCAACAGCAGACTGGAGAGTTGGAGCCAGACCGCAGAGCTCCAAAGAAAGAGAACTACGGAGGAAAAAGACAGAAAGACTGTGTCCCCAGCCTGTCTATTCTCTGAGTCACAAAGGGATCCTAAACCAGCACAGCTGAGCACCTCGGGCCTGGGGTTCTCAGTATCTTCAGGAAAGAAACCCGGGTCTCAGCAGGGCCTCAGCTTTCCAGGGTCACACAGCAGTTGCAGGCCGGACTTGTGGCAGGCTGCCCTACTCCAGTTCCTGCAGGCTGTGGGTGCACATAGTCTAGGATGCCCGCAGCCTCCTGCATTATAGACAGGAAAACAACTGACACTGGTAGGGGACGAAACAGTGTCACCCAAGGTCACAAAGCCAAACATTTCAAAGTCTTTCAGATGTAAAAAGCATTTAGAGAATGCCAGCCAAATAGCTCAGCAGATTAAAGTGCCTGCAAGCAGGGGCAGGGGCACAGCCAGCCCCACCCCTAGGGTGGAGATAGCAATCGAGACTGGGCACGGTGGTGGGTGCCTCTAATCCCAGCTCTTGGGAGGCTGTACACAAGAGAATCATTACCAGTCGGTTCTAGTAGTGAGGCCCTGAACACCCTGTAGACCCTTCCCTAAAACACAGAGAAAAAAAAAAAAAAAAGCACTTTAGAGACTGAGGCGTGAGGATCATTGTGTGTGCAAGACCAGCCCGGGCTTCAAAGTGAGCGCAAAGCCAACCCAAACTGCACGGTGTGACCCTGCTCAAAGAGAAACACAAAAAGTAGCTCTTTACCCATTGTCTTTCTCCCCAGAACACATAATTCCAGCCTCATCAAAAGAAAGTCAAAGAAAAAAAGGAAAGAAAAGAAGAAAAGGGAAAAAAAGAAAAAAGAAAGGAAAAGAAGAGAAAGCCATCAGTGAGCTGGTAAGCTAAGCGCAGCCCGCAGGAGGCTGGAGCTGCAGGGTCACAAGCTTGCATCCAACTGATACACTTCAGGGATTTAGCAAGATCCTGTCTCCAAACAGGCAAACAAAAAGAAAGGGCTGCAGAAGGAAAGAAAATATGGGGCCAGCGCTCCTCAAAACTGTCAAGGTCACCAGAAACAAGGAACAGCTGAGATCGGGCGCAGCGAAGAAGCCAAGGTGACAAGTGTGATGTGGTGTCCCAGCTGGTCCCTGGGAAGGGGGAGGAGCCATTAGGTTACAGCTGAAAGGTGGCAAGCAGTAGTTAGCTTAGGCTGGGTTAAGACTAACGTACCGGGGCCAGGCAACACAGCCACAGGAGTCCCAGCACTTGGAAGCCGAGGCAGGAGGCGTACCATGAGTTTGCAGCAGGCCGGGGCTGCTTAGTGAACTGAAGACCAGGCTGAACTGCGGCCAGACCCTGTTTCAAAAAGCCCAAAACACAACAACCAAAAATAGACTGATGTCTTGATAGTGGCTAATAAAGTATAAGAAATTTGGGCTGGAGAGATGGCTCAGTGGTCTGGAGCACCTACTTAGAACAAGCTTAGCAAAGCACAGGGACCGCGGTTCAATCCACCAGCACCACATGCCAGCCAGCCCCGCCCCCTGGTGGGCTGAGCTGGCCACACACACAAACAATAAATAAATGTAATAAAAATAAATAAATAAATAAAAAGTATAAGAAATTTATTATACTACTCTAAGACATTAATCATAGTAGAAACTCTTTTTTAATTAATTTTATTGAGAAAGAAATAGCAATGAGACAGCTTCAAAACAGGTTAGTAGGACAGTTACAATAATTAATACATTGCATATTGTCTTCATAGTGGTTACTCATAGTACAAGATGCAGACATGATATCTTGTCTAAACACTATTAGCACAAATCTTTCTTCTCATTGAACTAAGAGAAAGTAGCTATATATCTAACCTAACTAATTTGTATATACAGATATATAGGAGAAACTGTATTTTCCTCTATAAAGTTCTTATAAATCTATTCTAAAATTTTTTTAATTCTTGAAGGAAAAGCCCTTTATTCCTGACAGAATAATTTTGTTTTTCTTTTTGAGACAGGGTCTTGCTATGTTGTCCTAGGTGGCCTTGAACTCACTATCTACCTCAGGCTGGCCTCCAACCCACATCAATGATCCTGCCTCAGCCTCCCAAGTACTGGGTTACAGGTATGTGTCACCATGCCTGGAAGTGATATTTACTAATAAAAATGGTTTAAATATTTTCTTGTGGTGCTGAAGATTGAACATAGGTTCTTGCACTGAGCTACATAACAAGCCCCATTTATTTTTTTTATCTTGAGGCAGGGTCTCAGGAGATGGATCAGTTGCCTGGGTGGGGCTAGAACTTGCGTTCTTCCTGCCTCAGTCTTCCAGAACACAGGGGTCCCAGGTGTGCATTACGGTGCCTGCCTGTCTACGCCTAGGGCATGGTGGTGCGTGCTTATAATTCAAAATAAGAGGAAATGCAAGGGCCTGAGAAGGTGGCTCTGTGGAAGACCACACGCATGGCCGCGATCCCAGTATGGAAGAAACTGTTTTTACTTCCCAACTGAGTGAGTGCACACAAGGAATTGGCGCGGACAGACAATGGTGAGGTTAAGGCAGCAGAAAGTGTGTTCTCACTGGACAGTTACCTTGGGCAGCTGGAGCTCGCCCAGGCCTCCTGCACAGCTGCGGAAGGGCAGGGCTCTGTCCCTGGCAGCCTGGCTCTGGTCTGCCCGGTACTGGGACACCAAGCACAGAATACACTGGAAGTCGAGTGGCTTTGTCCTGCCTGTTGCAGAGTGATGAACGGGCCCTTTGGAAAGCAAACTTAGCTCTACAGATGCAGGAGCCAGTGGTTGCTTTTATTTATTTATTTATTTATTTTTTCTCATTTCGAGACAGAGTCTCGCTGTGTGTTCAGGCTGACCTTTAGCTCACTTTGTAGCTCAAGCTGGTCTTGAACTCACACAGATCCTCCTGCCTCAGCCTCCCGAGTGCTGGGATTACAGGTGTGGGCCACTGCACCCGGCTTCTCAGGAGATATATATATATATATATATATATATATATATATATATATATATATATCCCCCCAGGGGAAAGCACAAACGCAGTCCCTCACTACCACAAATTATGCAGTCGAGTTTCCCGCATTTGGGGAGATCGCAGGGGTCAGGACATCCAGAATGCGATGGATAAGCCTCGCCCTGGAAACCCACCCTCGTGATCATGGTGTCCCCCTGCCAGGTCAGTGTACTCAGGCTATTTTTAGAAGGAGCACGCACTGAAGTTAGATCATCAGGACATGATGGTATGGTAGCGTATTAGTCCATTTGCACCCGGATTGCGATCCTCACTCATTGCTGATGGGAGAATCGAACTGCTCCAAGCCATATTAATTTTGGTCCCTTTCCTGTCACTTTAGAGGCACATGATGAAAACGAAAGGTCAACATGCAGTAAATCAGCTTTGCGGCTTCTTGTCACAGAATTCAGAGGAGCAACCCGGTTTCACACACACTGCTTTAATGCAAAACCTGCACTTGTCACTGACTCTGTAAAATGGAACTTCAGAAGTTAGATTTTTTCCTCTTTAGAGACACCTCAGACCCGGGGTGGAAACAGCTGCCCCACGGCTCCTCGGCCCAGACGCATGGACAGAATTCCAGGTGCTAGTGCCAAAGCCGTTCCCACAGAGGAGGAGGAGGAGGCCTGGGTCCCGGGAGGGCTGGTTCCAGCCTGCAGGCGCGGCGGGCTCATTGTTCCGAGTATAAAGGACCCACCCACCTGTACCAGGCAGGATGCTGATCTGAAGCCAAGGAGACGGAGAGTCTCCTCAGAGCTTGCTGTGAATAAATCCTTTTTCCTGTTCACAAAATAATTGGGCTGCTTTGATTGGATCAGCAGGGGGCAGACTAAGTGGCTGCTAGCGTATTGTTCACTGTTCTAACAGGAACGCGGCCGCCGGCGACCGGGGATTGCTGCTAAAGGCCCGAGTTCCACCTTCAGACCCAGGCCTGGCACCGTGTCACCCAAAAGCCCCAGGAGCCGGTCCCATTGCCAACCGTGCCTTCCAGTGGTGCCCCCACTCCCTCGGCCCACAGAAAGGCAGATCGGTAAGCAGAGCTGAAGGCGCTTTCTCGAGGCCTCCCTCCCTGTGACCAAGGGGACAGTATCTCTCCAGTACCAGAGGGGACAGTGGAGGTTTAGTCCAGTATGGACTGCAAACCTGCAGTCTCAACTCCTTGGGAGTCTGAGTCAGGTTGCCTAAACCCAATCCAGGGCCAGCCTGTGCTTTGCACAGGGTAGATGGATGTGCTACCGCAGAGCTGCAGTCCTTTCCTTTTTCTTTTTTCTTTCTTTTTTTTTCTTTTTTCTTTCTTTCTTTCTTTCTTTCTTTTTTTTTTTTTTTTTTTTTTGCAGAACCAGGGATTGAACTCAGGCCAGGGAAGTGCTTATTCCACTGAGCCATCTCCCTGGCCCTCCTTTCTCTTTTGTCCTTTTTCTTTCCTTTCTCTTTCTTTTTCCCCTTTGTCTTTATGTATTTAGTACAGGGTCTAAGGGTCTCACTATATAGATAGGACTCTAAGTGATTGTCCTGGTTTCAGCCTCCCAGTCACTGGAATTATAGGCATGTGCCAACACGCCCAGTCTCAAATCGCCATCTCAGCGCACCCCGGGGTCAGGGCTGGCACGGCACACCAGGGATTGAACCCCAGCCGCTGTGCTCTGCCTAAGCAGGTGCTTTAGTCCACTGAGCTATCTGGCCAGCCCAGTCCCTTTGTCTTTTTGATTTTGAGATAAGGTCTTGCTACATTGCCCAGGCTGGTCTCAAATTTCTCATCTTCCCATCTCAGGCTCTCAAGTTGTGGGATTACAAATGTGTGGCCATGCTTAGCTACGACGTAGATATTTCCTTCCCCCTTTTAATAGGTGGAGGTGTAATCACTTGTACAGGGCTATGATGAGGGGGTTATCATGGCCAATCCTTTCTACCATGATTACAGCCGCTCGTAACAGAGGCCCTGAAGGTGTCTACACCTAGAAAATACGGAGCTCGGGGTCTGCAGTACATACGGAGCTACACCATGACCACTGCACACGTCAGAGCTTGGATGAACACCCAGGTGAAGGTCACGCATGAGTGGGTCTCCTGGGAAAAGAGATAAAGACGGCGACAAATGCAGAACAGCAACGCGCTGTAACAACACGTGTGGCTTTTCTGAATTGCCTTTGAACACCAAGGACAACCCGGGTGGAGAACACAGTTCTGCTCCTGGCAGGGAAGGCCGCTGGGTACAAGGCACATTGTCACCGGAGCCAATCTGCAGGTCCTCTGGGCCGTCCCCACTTTCAGCTTTATCCCTGATGACTCAGCATTTCTGTTTCCAGGGTCCCAATCTCTTCAGATCTCACCCCCCACCCGCCCGACCTTTCCACTTCTGTCCGCACTGGTGCCCACCCAGCCCCGCACATGAGTGGGCTTCCCAGAGCCCTCCTCCACCTCTCTTCTGAGACCACCGCTTCCTCCAGCTCCTCACCCCTCCACCTACTGCAAGCGTCACAGTTCAGAGAGCAACACCTGCTCCTTCAGCTCAGGAATTGAGAGAGGCGGGTGCAAGAAGGACTTTATGAGCCCAGAGAAGCAGCAGCCATGCCCTTTGACAACAAGAGGAGGGAAGCAGACCAGGCTGTCAATCATAGCCAAGGGCTGCAGTTCTTTCTTTAAAAAAATGTATTTTGTGCAGAGTCTCACTGTGCAGCGCGACTCGCAGGGATTCTGTTTTCAGTCTCCCAGCCCTGGGATTACAGGCATGCACCCCTATGCCCAGTCTCAGTGGCCAGCTCAGTACACCCTGGGGCGGGGCCAGCACAGCCTATAGTGCCAGGGATCGAACTCCGGTCCGTGTGCTTACCTAAGCAGGCGCTTGGTCTGCTGAGTTACCTGACGGGCCCTGTGGGCTGCAGTTCTGAAAGACAAATGTGTGGGGGCCAACGGATGAATGAGACTGCGCTAGGACAGGTGGCTGCACACCTGCCCAGAGCCCGTGCCCATCTTCAGGGCTCCTTGGGTAAATCGTGTTTCCCTGGTATGATCTCCACCCAGAGGGAAAACAACACTGCCCAGTGCATGTGGGCCCTGTGCAACTCAGGCCTGCGTCGTAGCTGAGCTCCGCCCTGCGGAGACCTCTGCTCCTTTTGGAAAAAAAAGAAAGGACAATTAACGACATCCTTTTAGGATGTCCTAAGGATGAAACATATGCCTTTGTGGGGCTGTCCTGTCTGCTGTGGAGCAGCCAGTGTCTCTTTCTTGGGGCCGCGCATAGGACAGCCAGCTGTGTTTCTTCTCTAGAATATTTTTTTTTTTTTTGGCAGAACTGGGGATTGAACTCAGGCCCTTGTGCTTGCTAGGCAAGCACTTATTCTACTGAGTCATCTCCCTGGCCCCTCTTTTCTAGAATAAATGTTTTATTTTCATTTAAAATCAGTCTATATTTCATCCTTATCTAACATGGCTGTACTTCCTGCCAATCTTCTCTTTGTTTTTTAAGGTTTTGTCTGAAAATCCATATCGTTGCCTAATTTTTAATTTCTGTTATAGCCAAAGCAAGAACCTTGCCAGCCACGGGGGAAAGGTCCAGCCTCGTAATCACCCCTACTGATTACAGCCTACCACAGAGCTGACCGCGCCTCACCATCCACCCGTTACATAACATTAACTAATGTAACTCGCACAAAATTCCCAGCACAGTGGCAGACACACAGGAACAGTTCAGTCCTTGTTTTTGAGACAGGGTCTGGCTATGCAGGGCCGATGGGCCTAGAAATCACAGGGATCCTCCTGCCTCAGCCTCCGAAGTGCTGGGATTACAGGCACGCGCAGCTGCACTGGGCTAAAACCTGGGTATTCCCAGCAGGTCTCCCACCTAAGTATTAAGCAGGCCCCAGGCCTGACCCTCCTAGGCTCTGGATCAGAGGAGCTTGGGCGTATTCAGGGCGGCGGCTGTAGACCCAGGCCGTTACCGCTACTGACTTTAGATTCACTGTCATCATTCTGGCCAACTTCACTGCACGATTGGACGATTCCTGCAGTTCTGCATTTTCAGGTCCTGACCTTGGCTTGCACAGCGGCCTGCCCCTCTTCTCCGCATGGCCACAGCCTGCCTCAGGGCGCTGTGACCGACTGCACCATGCTGGGCCGCTCCACGCTGGGCCGCAGCGGTGGCCTCTCTCCAGCCTCTGAGCCAGAGCTGGCGAGGAAAGGCAGCGACACTGGGATCTCTGAGCCACGCCAAAATGCTGTCAGGCGGTTCCTCTCAGGTGGGCTTGCAGTTAGCTACCGGTCCTGGGTGCTCAGCTGGACCTCTGGAGCTGGAGTCCTGGTTCTTGCCTCAAACAAAGAACTGAACAAAATGAGCAAAAAGCGGTGGCAAAGTTGTTTTGAAACATTAAAAGACTGAAGAGGGGGAGAAACCATTCTGCAGAGAGAAAGTTGTTTTGAAACATTAAAAGACTGAAGAGGGGGAGAAACCATTCTGCAGAGAGAGTTGGGGCTACCTAAGGAGGAAAAGCACACCCTGGGCTGGAAGATAGCTCAGCGGTCTAAGCGCCTGCCTGGCAAGCATAATGACCCAGGTTCGATTCCCGGGACTGCGTGCCATGCTGGCTGGAAAGTGGGCGTGGTAGCGTACATCTGTAATCCCAGCGCTGGGGAGGCTGACACAGGAGGATCACTATGAGTCCAAGATGCACAGGAAGATCCTGTACAAAAAAAAAAAAAGGAAAAATAAATCCTGGAGGGAGGAGCAGGCTGCAGGGGAGTTGCAAGCTCTCGGCGGGCGCCTTTTCCTTCATTCTGCGCAGAGTTTAGTCAACACCAGCATCCCCAGGGACTGTCGAAGGCTCGCGCACCGCAGGCGGAGCTCAGGCCCCAGCCAGCCTCCTGAAAACCTGCTCAGGTCTTGCCAGAAGTCCAGGGGCCAGGCTTTGGGAACTGCCTGCACGCGTGTCTGCAGGACCTTGTCCTTTTCTTCTTGCGGAATCAGTGTAACTAACAGGCCACGCCTACTTCCCCAGCCTGTTTGCCGCGCCCTAATCCCCCTGTTACTCTGAAAATGCTGAGCTGATCTGAACTTTAGTAGGTAGTAAACAAGGCACCCATGGTTCCCCTAGGGCTCTCACCTCCAGATTACAAATTCCCAAACTTCTCTCTTTTTGTTTTTGTTTTTATTATGTAGTTCAGGCTGACCTTGAAC